CGCCCAGCAGCCCTCCGCAGCACTCCGCGAAATCCTGCGGTGCGTAAGTGGTCCCTAGAACAAGGGTCAGAGGACCAGACTCCGGGTACTGGGCACATGCCAAATTGAGACAGACATACACTGACAAAACACACACTGGCAAGACACACACTGACAGGACATGCTCGCAACATCACGCACGCTTGGCAGCAGGCACACTTGGTGTTGACAAAAGAAATAGATTTCAAGGAGTGACTAGCAGCTAACAAATCCAGATTATATACCCAAATCAAAACATTGATCATATATCCAACTTGAAAATAGCCCGATCTCTATGATAATCTCATATCGTATCGTGGGGTATCTATCGTACCGCATCGCATCGTAAGGTAAATCCATAAAATCGAACCCGATCTCTCATTGCGTCCAAGTCGAAATCGGTCTCGAGCGAACGCTAAAGTGGTTGAATGGCGGCAATTGCCTCGGGGTTGTGGCGGAAAGACATTGTATGTAGTCCTTCATGGTCGTCTATAGTTTTATTTTAGGGAACAAAAGAAAAGAGTGCGCGGCTACGAGCTGTTGCCGCCACACGAGCAGCCGGAGCCTGGAATCATGTCAGTGATTGGTCTCTGGTATTCATTCATTCATTCTCTTCATATCCAATTCCTCTTAGAGTGAAAAGAGTATGAAGATAGGCACGACTTACAGCTGCCGCTACCGGAGGTGGAGCTAGTGCATTCACCGTTGCCAGCCATTTTGATGATATATATAAGTTCAAAGGTAATAAAACCTAGAAACAAGCGTTTGGGTATAGATGTTTGGAAAAAGCGTTTTCGTTTCGAGTATAAAACCCTACTTGAGGAGAAGAGAAAGAAAAAGGCTCAAGGCCAGCGGGAGGATTGCACTTCCTTTATAGCCCGCCCAACATACCCCGTCCAGCCTCTGCTGCAGGATCATTATTGCCTCACTTACAACACATGAATGTCGGTCAAGAGGATCAGAGTCCCTGGGCGGAGATGGTCCACTCTGCACTATCAATCAATCATGGGATCACGGAATATTGCTATCTTGCTCCACTCTATGCCTTCAAAAGGGCTAGGCATCTGCAGAGAAGATGGAGATAAGTGCACGTCATCACCACGTTCAACCCTGGAGCATGCCAATGCTACAGCCACGGGGCTGCTTCGTCCTTTCACATCGCAGCCATTTGCCTCTCCTCTCATGCAGCTCAAAAACGCTAACTCGTTTGAGAAACCATCTCTATGCCACCGTCGCTATCATCGCTTAGCCATTGTAAATCCACTCTAGGCGAAACTCCTCCCGGTATGAGGGCTCCCATCATTGCAAGACGCATGAACTATGGCTCCTCGCTTTGGCTGCTCTCATGGCAAACCTAGCTTGTCCCTTAATAGCCGTTAGGCGCTCACTTGCTATATCTAGCAATATCAGTCGAAGATCCTGACTCCTCGAAGTCACAGGAGGGGTCTTTGTCCCATCTTCAATTGCGTCAAATAGAGCCTCTCCACAAAAAGTCCAACCCGCAGATATATTCCTTCTATCCCACCGCATAGGCCCAAAATTAACTTATCCCGGGCAAGTGTAGCATAAATAAAAAAGCTGTTTGTCTTCGTTATTAGGTCTCTCAATCTAAGTTGTCATGAATTCTATGGTTAAAAGTGTATACTCAAAGATCATGTTGAGAGTATATGTTGACTTGTCAAAAACCAGTTGAGCAATACCTTATATATTCATATTGATAGACTCATCCCTTTATTTTGGAGCGCCTAGAGTTTTCACGAAACGGGATGATGTTACTTGCAGCTTATACAGAATCATAATATTATGACCATCGGTGCCTGGCAAATATCTAGAGCGAATAAAAGCGTCCCGATTCTAAACCGCATCTCGACTGGAACTGGTACGCCCCTGCCGTTTGTAATTTCTTTGAGAAACGTAAACTCATCTGGGCTCATCTCAGCCTCCGGAGCTATGCTTTCACGTGGGTGAACTGGCTCCTCTTTATTCTCCCACGCCTCAAATATCTTGTTCGATTTCGCCAGGGCATCTTCTACGCATAAACGACAACTCCAAGAGCCAAGCCCGAATACACAACTCTTGCGCTCTTCTCTCTGGCATTCCAACTTGTCAGCCAGTTGCCCGAGCTGGGAGCTTATATCCTTGACACGATCAGGTAAAGATGCATGTGGCGATGTCGTGATTATTAACAAATTGTCTCTCAAACTTTCGACGGTTTCGTTTTTCTGTGATTTTGACTGCTGCCCACTTTGATAATAGTTTATCCACTTGGTGGCTCTTCGCGCTGGTTGGATGCGTCTGGTTGTGCCAGTTAAGTTGTCTGATCCTTCAGCGTCCAACCTATTCCTGATAGCAAGATCCGCATTAGTAGGTGACACCAGTTCTTTGGCCGCAATCTGGGCAAAGTGTGGTATACACAGCGGTGTTTCCCAGAAGGCCGCGGCAAGGGGCGAGTGTGGGTGAGTTGCGGCCTCCATGTCGCACTTAGTCAATAGAAATGGCGAATCAGAATAGCCATAGAACGTGATGTTAATCACGATGATTTCAGGTCTGGGTAATCTTATACAGAGGAAATATTCTTTGTTTATCCATTGATCGGCTTTCCAGCTAACAATGGTGCATTAAGCTCAGACCCTTGAAACAAAGACGGGTTATCAGAGTTCGTAGACAGACAGCTCCTTCCAAATGACGCCTCGGAAGTATTAAAAAATCGCATTGTTTTTCTGGTACATTTGCAGATATAGGTACGGGTAGCAACTTCTCCGGGGAAATACATAGAAACCCTCTGCCAGGATACAGAACGATGATATCTCAACAAACCCAGATTAAACACCAGGTTCGTTCAAGTCTTTCGCGCTTGTCTGGTGTTTCTGTAAAACTCATGTTTAGTTGAGCCCATGTGTAGCACTAAGTTTCCCTCATCCACGGTACGTCAACTAGGTACCTAATGTTCAGGAAACGACAGCAACTTCCCACGCCACCACTTCCAAACCAGTCACAGCCAAACGTCCAAAATGCCATCTTCTGAAATCACATTTGATAAATGCCACTACTGCGATCGTTTAAGGGGGAGCACTGTCTTCCATATTCAAAATGTGGTCTTCTTAAATGAATGAAGAAGATCCAGATAAAACCAAAGATAGTAACTCTCCATGTCCTTCTTGCAGATTGCCTATAGCTCGTTCAATCTCTAAGTAGATCAAGATAGTTCTGACTCTTCGTAGGTGAACGATATACCTACCAGTGTCGAATACGAGAAAAGTAACAACCGTCGAAGCTCATGTCTAGTCTTGTACTGAATGAGTGCCTGAGTAAAGTATCAAGTTTATTCATACTCAATCAATTCAGGTCAATTCGTTTCACCCATTACCTGCCATGAAAACACTCCATGATTATTGTAGTATACATGTATGGAATATACAGTCAGCCTAGTAGGCCATATCATACAGACAACACGGGATATAACGTCGCTATTTTACGCCTTCCCCCTCATCCATTCTCTCTCCTTGTTTCCGGATAGGTTGTCCGTGCCAGTGACAGGCAAGCCACGCTTTTGAAGTTCCTCCTCAATGACCTTCCATCGGCCAATCTCAATCTCCTTGTCAATGGGGCCAACCTTGCGGCTATGGACTCGGACGTTGGCGAGCTTAGTTACCTCCGGCTTGGCCAAGAGCTCATCAGCCAGGCTAGAGGGCTTGCGTTGCTGGAATAACGTGGTAAGAACGTCCCTCACATTTCTGGCAGCGCCCAATTTGGAGTCGGGGATCAAATTCCCAGTAAGCTGGTAAATCCGCTTGCGGATCTATGCCTCGGAGGTCAGCACTTGGTGCGTATATAGGAAGGTGGTAGGATGCCACGCATGTAGGTACTCACAGCAAATCTGGTTTCATCGTTCACCTTGATCTCCTTCCACTTGGGGTCCCACTTCTTTGTAATTTCAGCAGCCTCCTCGAGTGTGATCCTAGGAGAGGCCTCTTCGCTGGAGCTAGCGGCATCTTGGGTCAAGCGGCTCACGACGGAGGAAACATCTCCCTGCAGCGAGAATTGGCCCTCTTCACCAACAATCTCTACAGCTAACGTCTGCTCGAGGGCTTCCCTGGAACCCTCTGGCCACTTCTTCACGAGCTGCTCGGCAAGCTGATTTTCCTGCTGGAGAGACAGCACCTCAACCACGACCCGTCTCAATTGTACTTCAATGATGGTCCTTTCAACTTCCTTCTCGGGCTTTCCAAAACTTCGAAACTCGCTCTCCTTACCCCAGTGTTCTGGTTGATCCCACCATTTGGTAAATGGTGGCATCTCTTCCAGTTCTTCAATTGTCAAAGCTGGGGTATATGTAGGGTCGTTGGCAGCCAATTCCTTCTCAGTGGTGGCTTCGGTGCGTTTGGGGGGAAGAGGCAGGCGCCATTTGGCGACTGATCTGGGATGTCGAGGGATCGAAATCGCCTCTTCCGGGAGATTAGAGGCGGGCTCTTCAGGCTCAGGCCGTTGGGTATATGGATCCTCTGGTCCAGGAGCCGGTCCCTTCCAGAGCTTGCTTCGGAGATCGTACACTGGTGCCGTTGTCGAAAGGGTGCGGGTCGCAGAGAACGGCAAGCGAGGGAGGGTTTTTGAAGAAGCCGAAGCAATTTGGAGGGACTGAAGCCCCCTTACACGCGGTATTCGGGGCATTGTGGCGCTGAAGGTTGACGATTGGCGTATGTGGAATCGCCTTGGGAAGATTTCATGGTCAAATCTTGAAGACGGCCGACTTTTCTGGTCAATGGGCTCGGTAGCCAATCAGCGTCGCTTTCGCCGTGTGCTCCGAAGCACTAGCCACACTACACTAGCCACGATTATTATTAGACTGCTTGCGACCTCAATCCGTCTCGTCTTAGATGTGCACAGCTCACCACTGATTATGACGGTCGCATCGCATTTCCAAAGACGTTTAACTTGGCATTCAATAGCCAAGACGACAATCTTTGAGCAACCCAACCATCGCGATGGCGCGCATTAATCTATTACTGCTCTACCTGATTTCCTTGATAACCCTAGTATCCGCAGGTGAGATGCACCCATGCATGCCCTTTCAATTGCTGAAAGCATCAGCTCGACTAACTTCACCAGGCTCTCCCACCTTTTGCAAATGCACCTGTTTCAAAAACAGTACTCTCATAATCCTAGACGAGCCTGCCGACTCGAATAACCACGCCGATCTCGCTTTTGCCGGCCTTCGAAGCTTGGTTTCCCCTGATTATGCCACCGTCAACGAATCGCCTCGAGCCGTCTCGGGTCTATGCGCTGAGTGCACCAAGGCTTTCTGCCTCGGCCAGGAGCTAGATATCTGCGAAAAGGCCAAGGAATCGGACGTCACGACACAATGCTTCAAGCGGGATAGCATCAAGGACAGGCTCATCGTTTGGGGTTTCCTCATCGGCACTCTTGGTCTGCTTGGCTGGGCAGCGATACGACGTTTAATGGCGTGGAGACAGCAGAGGGCAGCCAGCAGGAATAACATGAACTACGGTCATATCCCTCAAAGATGATTATCGGGGGTTGGTCAAGATGCTTTACGAATGGCCCATCCTTGTCTGGCACAGAGGACCATCTTAGGGCGAGGGAGTTCCGGAGTTTTTGTACACGATATTCTAAGATGACTCGACGAACCTGCGAACATACTTATATATTTTTGTTATTGTGGTATCATCACATCAGATAAAGGAAAGGCTCGTAATATCGGGGACAATTGGTAACCCTTTGCTTTCTCTTCCAACGCCGCAACTGTGTCACTTTGACTTTTTGACTCCGTTTCCCTACCTACTCTATGAACTAGGTATCCAAAAATAATACAGGTCAAGTTTTTGTATTTCTAGGTACCTTGTGTTGAATAACTTTTCCTCGACAGCGCGCCCCGCACGTGTTTCGATCATTACTTTTTCGCCTCAAGAATGGTGCCCTCAGCTGGCTTGGGATTTACTTGGAGGCGGCGATGACCTCACGACGAACCCGCACAGCTTCGGCAAGATCCTCCAGAACAGTGACGGTGTCCTCCCAATTGATACAGGCGTCAGTGATACTGACACCGGTCTTCAAAGCAGCAGGCCCTTCGTTGGGGACCTTCTGGTTACCTTCGTTGATGTTGGATTCGATCATGACTCCCACGATGGAAGCCTCACCCTCGCGAAGCTGGTCACCGACAACCTTGGCCACCTTGGGCTGGTTCTTGTGGTTCTTCAGAGAGTTCCCTGAGATTTGTGGTCAGTATATTGAACTTGCAAATTTTGGAAAGAAATGTCGGAGATTTATTTCCTTACCGTGAGAGCAGTCGACCATGATGGCCTGCTTCTGGCCCTTTTCAGTCAAGACCTTCTTGGCGGCCTGGACGCTCTCCTTGTCGTAGTTGGGGCCCTTGGTTCCACCGCGGAGGATAACGAAGCCGTGCTCATTGCCCTTCGTACGAGTGATAGCGGCGAGGCCCTGCTTGGTAACACCCATGAAGTGGTGCTGGGATGCGGCAGAACCGATGGCATCAATAGCCACGCCGAGATTTCCATCGGTTCCGTTCTTGAAGCCGACAGGGAAGGAAAGACCAGAGGCAAGCTCTCGGTGAAGCTGTGACTCGGTTGTTCGGGCACCAATGGCACCCACTGAGATGCAGTCGGCGAGGAACTGGGGAGAGATGGTATCGAGCATCTCGCTGGCAATGGGCATGCCAAGAGAAGTCAAGTCGACGAACATTTTTCGCGACACGCGCAGACCCTTGTTGATGTGGAAGGACTGGTCGATGTCGGGGTCGTTGATCAGACCCTTCCAGCCCACGGTGGTACGAGGCTTCTCCAGGTAGGCACGCATGACGATGCAGAGGTCGTTGGACAGCTTATCCGAAAGCGCCTTGAGTCGGCCAGCGTACTCAAGGGCTGTCGCGGGGTCGTGGATGGAGCATGGGCCGACCACAACTAAGAGTCGGTCATTGCGGGCAGTGATGATCTTAGCAGCGTCGACTCGGCCCTGGACGACAGTGTCGAGTGCTTCCTTGGGCAGGGGGATCTCGGAGGTCAACAGGGCTGGAGGAATGAGAGGATCCTGTCCGAGGACTGCGTTGACGACATCTTAGCATAGGGTCTTGTAGGCGGAGAACGGGTGGGGGGCTGAGGATCCAAGCCACGGCAATTGCTGGGCATTTTACTAGGGGAGCGAGGAGCCGGTGTCCATTTGCAGCTATCGTGACAGCAATGCACATACCTCTCACATCATCCGTGACCTGCGGGGCCAGATCGGTTCCAGGCATGTTGGATATGGGTTTTGTATGATTGGAAGAAAAAGTTGTACAAGAGAGGGCGTAAAGTTGCACAAAATCTGATTAAGGTTTCGAACACAACAAGTGGTAAAATGCCCAAACCAATGACTGAGTGAGTAACTTGTAAAAAAAATTACGAGCGGTGAACCTGTTCGAGAAGGGAAAAATATGTAATCGAGAAGCACGAAAAGCTGTTTGGCTATGATGTATCGATGGAGCCCTACAGAATTCTCGAGTGACTCAAGAACATTGACGAATAGCAGTCCAGCAAACGTAACGCAGCACGCCGGTTCGGAGGGGCCTAAGACTCATCATGGAGGGGCCCAAGACTCATCATGGAGGGGCAATTAGCCCCCCACCATCTTCCTTTGGACCCGGGAAAATATTTAGGGGTTCAAATCATGACATCTGTCCAGACACCCATTGTCGACCTTGAAATTTGTAAAAGTCAAACCGAAGGCGTTAACGTTGCCAGTAGAATTAGAATGGGATTTTCCGAGTACACTTTCGATACCCCTTTTTCTTCACATCTGGAACATCTCTGTGCGTCGCGTTCTGTCTGACGCATCTCCGGAGATCCCCGCCATCATTTGCCAGCATGTGACGCTGCTGTCTTCTGTGATAGGCCATAGCTAGGTAGTAATAGAAGGCCTCAAGATACAGCTCCATTGGCAGCTCTCCGACTACGGGGATTGGATCATTTTTCAATAGTGATATGTGCTACTAAGCCAGCGGATTATGAGAAACCTCCCTTACTTCTGTACACCAAGGCGATTTCCAATTGCTGCCAATTGCTGCTCAACGTGTAGCGAAAGGACAGGTGTGCCGACTTGTCCAAAAACCGTACCTTTAAACTTACACCGAGCCTCCGTAGCGCAATTAACATTGACTAGGTTTTCTATGCTAATCGGTGCAGGCCCAGGCTAGCAAACTTCTAGAGCCTCTCACAACGATCTCTATTCTCACGACATCTCGCATTCCGGGACATTCACACAATATTTCTGTCGTTAATATGACACTCCGTAGTGCTTGTGGGGGGATCCAGAACCTGGCCCTGTCACGTTGCCAGTGCTCTCCTGATGAAGCCAGGTTCAACTTGCAAAATGATACAACACTATCCTCTCTGTCAACCCTCGAGCATCAGATCAAGAGATCGTCCCATCTCCACAGCACACCAATACGAGCAATGCATTACGTCTAGCTCTCGGTGAGGTGCATGAATTACAGGCCTAATATAGGAACGGAGATGTCCAGAGGACGGATGATGAGCATTAGTGTGTCGGGTGCCTTAATTTGCTTATTCTCCGGGGGGGCTCTCCACTATGACCAATTTGCGGCGGGCGCGATTGCCCGCTGTAAGGCACAGCTAGGCGGGCACCTAAGGTTGGTGCTGCACCGCTGAAGTTAATTGGTACGGGATGGAAATGCTGATTGCCGGCAAGGGTATTGCCGCTACTGGTAAACACAGTGACTGGAAACCCTTCCGTCGCGTCATCGTGATTTTCGTCTCCTTATTCCGTTTTTCTTTCTCCAGAAACCGTCAACAAGACATAGTCTTTTCTCCCATATCCAGCCCAGGACATTCTTTCTTTCTTTACTTTGGTCCATACTGTCTTTTAATACTGCATCTTCCCCAGCCACACAACCCCATTTCCCAAGGTGCTGGTTCCACCTCTAGCTGCGCTTCGTCATTCACTCCCACCATCAGCCGTGCCTTCTTTTTTTCTTTTTTGTCTTGTCTCATAAGAACGTCCCAACTGAGTTGATCTCGCCTGCCTCACTGTCTTTGGAGGCCATACCCTTCATTGATCATCAAGAGCCAGCTGGATCAGCCGCCGTCTACTCTATCCCGGAGCATTGGCTTTGTGCTATCCCAAGGAAACGGTCATCAGCTGGCCAGCTCTTGTCGTCGACCCTTGCCCGTCTGTTGTTCTGCCTGGACCTTACACGCACAGAGATCCCATCCTGGTACCTGTGCGCGCGTGCACGCACCCCAGTCTTACTTGCCACGCAAAGCCAAGAGCGCTACCGGGAAGGCCTTTCCCCTCACGCCGGCGGTTCTAAGCCTCCCTGTTTCCCAGGCCCACCCGCGTCCACTTCAGCTTCCGGAGTCCAGACGCATAACAACCATTACCGTCAAAGCCATTCTTTTCTTCTTTTCAGCTCTATCCAGGGGACGTCGCCGGCTGTCTGGACCTTTTTCTGTCCTCCAACCCTTCCACCAGCATCTAGATATTGCACTTGCATGTTTCTTTGCAATACCTCACTGGGTTACACGGCGATTTAGGAACCCCATCCAACAGCCCACTTATATTGTCACTTCCTTGCCGACGTCCGACCGTCTCAAGTTCTGCCAACATCTTGAACTTGGTGTCTTTTGCAGCATACGAGTATTGATTTCCCAGGTTCCCGTTCCTGAGAATCAGGACCCTTCCATCCGATATGTTCGCCACACAACACTACATGGATCCGATGCAGGACCAGCCCAAGAAGCGGGGCAGAGACGATGATCCTGACCTGGTCAGCGGAGTTCCCAGCTTCAGTGAGCATCGTAACGTGAGTGTCCATTGGCCGGTATCGATGAATCTCGAGTGAATGGCAGCTGATTTTACGATAGAAACGATTGCAAAGTTTACCTCTACGCACCTCGCCCAAGAGCTCACACCAGGTCACGCCCCTCAACGCACCTCAGGAACACCTCTTCAGACCCCATCTCGCATCGTTTTCGCCGGAAGGATACCCCCAACAACCTCAAGATGAAGATATGGATGCCATGCATATTACGTCGCCATCTCAGGTTGCCTACCTCGCCTCAAATCTGGGAGATTCTGACGCTACGACCCGCATTCCCACACCCATACAACCAAGTTTCGCAGCACAGGTCAGAGGTCAACAATGTGAATGGGCCGGCACCGGACCGGTTGGTGGTCATAATGGCTCTTGTCCCAATGATGGATGCGCTCCATCTGCCATGGTAACAGAGTCAGACTGGCAGACATTGCAGAATAACAGGCGTCTTCCGTCGCCCATCTCAGAGTGCGATGATTCTGTTGGAAATCAGTTAATGAACCCCCAAGCAATGACACCGGACCACTGCGAGCACTCTGCTCCCTTTCATTCACCTAACAATATGGAACACCCGAATGCTTCCATGGATACCGAACGAAACACGGTGCATGATACAGATGGCGATTCTCTCAGCCCATCGCCCCGCAGAGGCCATATGCGGAGCAAGCACACAATCAACACCTGGACATGGCAGCCAGGGATGAAACGAAGTTTCAGCATTGGCTATCGGGCAGATTGCGAAAAGTGTCGACTGAAGGTACCCGGCCACTTCAATCACATCATCATCTCATAGAATGGGTCATCATGGTTACAGCCTCCCGGATTCCCCATCCCCTCCTCTGGCTAGCATTCCCGGCTTGTTTGGACCACCAGGGCAGAACCCTTGAGAATTAAAAAGGAATTGGCGTTTGATTTATGAGCATGCAACACGAGAACACAAAGTTTTTCTTCCTTTCTTTCTTTCTGACTTCCTTCGTCTCTTATGTTTTCACGGCGTTTTCTTCCTCAATTATAAGCTCCCGTTAGGACCCGGTTGGCGCTTTATAACACTCCTTGATAAGCACGCACACATGTAATGATTCTGGCTGGATTTGGAGGCTACTTATGGAAAGCTCTCGCCTCTCTTTTGTTTCAATGGACTCGCTGGCGAACACTGCTCTGATTTTGGAATTTCGGTATGTCAATAGGTGCCAGTCTTAAGGCAGCGAAATGCGTTTGTCGCAGACTAGCAAAAGCGCCGCATAGTATTGAATAAATAATTCAGCATAATACACCGCAGTCTGTGACAGTGTATGGTCGATGCATGCCATGGAATCTGCCCATTTGATTAAATTCCATTTTTGTGAAAGGTACTTTTGAAAGAGATTATTCTATGCTTTTATTCAATTTTTGTTTTATGAACTAGTTACCAGGGTTCACGTGTTATGATATACAAAGTCGGTTGGACAAGATCCCCAGCGCCGTCTAATAATGCACTGTCAATGTACAGGAATATGCTACACTTTGGAGTTGGTTGTTTTGTTTGAGTTTGCCTACCAAGGCCACCAGCCCTTCTTGGCAGGTGTCTGAGTGGAGGCTCCGTTATCGAGTCCAATCTGATCTAAGCTTCCACCCTTGCGTTGGTTATCCAACTCGGTTTCCCATGCTTGCTTGGCCTTATCTTCGATAGTTTGAGTGGCCACCAGATCGCTGGGTTGTGTTGAGTTGCCTCCCTGTGTGCTCTCTGAGGCTGTTGCGTTTTTACTGCCGGTCAAGCCGGATAATACACCGAGGATGCCCTTGCCCTGAGTCTTATCGGGGACCTTCTCCCCATCGATCGAAGGCTTGAGGTGCTCCTCGAAATGCGTGCGGTGCTCCGGGGGAGCCAGGAGAGGTGGCAGCTTGACACCTCGCTTCTCGGCGTCGCGGTTGGCCTCCTCCACGAGCAGGATCTGCTCCTCCGTCGCATCGCCCTTGATGTATGCTATACGAGCTGCGGAGAGCTCATCTGCCTCCAGGGTCTTCTGAGCTTCGATCCATTCAGCCCGGCGGGCACGGTTGTACTGTAGCATATCCCAAACGGAGTAGATGCTCACGACACCGGCCACAGCTGCCATTGACGTTAGATTTGTGTCTCGTCTGCCTCAGCCTGACAGGTAGGACGGCAATTGGCCACCTGGGAGGAGATGTAAGGGGACAGGGAAACGTACCCGTAAACAGAATGACACTCCCGATTGTGACCTTGTGTGCGACATCGAAGAATTTCCTCGAGTAGTTGATGACGTTGTCTGTAGTGCTGACCTGTGCTCTCTGAGCAGCGAGATGGGCTTGCCTTAAGCGACGGACTCGTTGTTCGGGCGTCTCTCCTGGGATGCGGGACTGTGCGGCGGCGGAGGACTGGGCTGATTTGGAGGCGGCGTGGGGGATGGTCGAGGTGAAGCGGGTTGCGTCCTTGACGCTCCTTGATGCTATCCTGGACGCCATTCTGTAACTCTGGGAGGGTGCGAGGTTAGACCGTCGCAAAGAGAGAGACGGACTGGGTATGGGGAGTTCGGGAGACTCGCAGAGCTGACGGGGTGTATAGCACGGCGGATGGTGGTGTCATGAGATTTTTTGATGGATTGCATGAGAGCGGAAAGTCTGGATTGTGATTGGTCCGGAGGATCTTCGGCAATTGAGATTTAGATTTTACTTGCGGAATTTAACGATCAAGATGTTTGAGGCGCGACCGGACAGATGGGCATTGAGAAACGCGTTGGAGTAGTCTAGTTGTACGAAGCTGATGAGATTAGAGTCTACTGTGTGGTCTAGTCTACTGCATTGTGATGCCACCATATCAGTGAAATGCTGGATGGGCCCATGTCCCCTCTACGAGGAGGTTTTCATCGTCCGCACGAGATGCGTTTTCTTCCGATGGAACCGGAATGGATTGGAGAAGACGAACAGGGGACACAGAATTTATGACGGCAGGGCAAGGGTGTCTTTTATCAATTGATGAATTCGCATTGGCATTGACTGGAGTCTTCTCCGCGATCTCAAAATCCTGTCCACGGTGTCTCGTCTACCCAGCCGTCACGTTGCATATCAAAGTTTCAACACTCGCGTCTTCTTCATGACATGGCGCGAAGCCATGCACACAATGAAAACAGACAAAATCAAAAATTACGCCCCCCATGGCCCCGAAGGACAATGGAGCAAGGACGACACCGCGATGTGCAATGCAGGCCATCCATACTAAATCCCCCAATTCATGAGCTAGGGAACTTGGAACAAGGTAAGTATGAAGAGAAAAAGGAAACAAGCAAAGGGCACAGGAGCGCTGGGAATTTATATGTCCTTAAAGTGGGTCCAGGAATTGTTTCTGCCTGGCGCTACAACCTCTGGTCAGGCATCCAGTCAGGTCCGTGACCTTTCACGTGATACGCACAATTTTTCGAATTCGAGTCGACTAGCGCGACCCCACCTGAAAGTTGCCTTTACTGTAGGGCACAGAAACCCTTCAGTGAAATTGTTCAGCGTCAACCTACGAAATTTCAACGCCTCACGACCAACGACAACAGGAGCAGGTTTGATCGCAAACAGGCACAATGGTATGTGATAACCCATAATGAGATGTCTAATTGCGTCTAGACAGTCTTTGCTAATGGTTTTCTCTCCTCCAGGCGATCAAGCACAACCAGAAGCTCATTAACAACCGTAAGCATCAACCGCCGCGGCCACAAGATTTCCTCGACCGAGACCTCGAAGAGCAACAACTAACTTGACGATCAGATTTCCGCAAGGATTGGCAGCGTCGGGTTCGCACCCACTTCGACCAGGTATGCGGCAATGAATTCGAAAATACGAAAATAGGCCATGAATTGGAATATTGACATTTTTTGGATAGGCCGGTAAGAAGAAGTCAAGACGCACTGCTCGTCAGGCCAAGGCTGCCGCCGTCGCCCCCCGCCCTCTCGACAAGCTCCGACCTGTTGTGCGATGCCCTACCATTAGGTACAACCGCCGGGTCCGTGCTGGCCGCGGTTTCACCCTCGCCGAGCTCAAGGTATGGAACGCATCTTCTCGAAGCCCTCATGGCGAGGCGTCTTCTCTCTGTTCTGCGTGTCATGGACACTCTCTGACCCGCTGTTCTTACAGGAGGCTGGTATCCCCAAGCGATTCGCCCCCACCGTCGGCATCTCCGTCGACTCCCGCCGCCAGAACATCAGCGAGGAGTCTCTCGCCGTCAACGTCGAGCGCCTCAAGGCCTACAAGGAGCGCCTGATTGTCTTCCCCCGCAAGTCCAACAACCCCAAGAAGGGCGACACCAAGGCCAACCCCCGCGAGCTCGAGAAGGTCACCCTGATCTCCTCTGCTCTGCCCCTCCCCACCGCCGCTGGCTTCTCTGAGATCAAGAAGAGCGACCTCCCCGCCCCCGTCGAGGGTGGTGCCTACAGGGCCCTCCGCATGGCCCGCGCCAACAAGCGTGCACAGGGTCCTCGGGAGAAGCGCGAGAGGGAGAAGGCCGAGGCTGAGACTGCCAAGAAATAAGCTTGCAAAAAGGATATCGGTGTTTTGAGGATTTTGCTCTTTGCGTCTCTTAAGGGAGGGGCAAAACGTCGGTACGGGTCTCTGATGAGAAATTCTCTGGTCTGGGATCGGGATAGAGATTTTATTTAACTCTTATAGTCCAGTAAGATGAACTGCGGCATGACGACCGGCTTTTGCTTCTGTATTCAGGTGGTCAATGGAAAAATCTTAACGTGAGCAGCGCGCACCTCATATACTTGTGATAATGAGTTTTACTTTTTAAGAATGCGTCAATGGAATTTCATGCATCATGAGAAAAAGTTAAGACCTCTGCATTCGATATTGATTATTTAGCTACATACTTGATGTCACCCAGTATCTGTAAGCTCCTCCTTGCGTTCATTACTGCCCACCTTTTTCTTTTATCAGAAGCGCAGTCCCTTCCTTCACAAGCTCCTCCCATCTGCTTTGCCTGAGCTCAGGAAACTCGGTGCCCAAGCTGCGTAACATCTCCTTGCACATGACCACGCAATTCTCACGGTCAATTCGCTCCATCTGGTCCTTCTGCTTGGGGTCGACCTGCTGCGGCTCCAGCTCGACACCTCCCCCTGTAGGAAAAATCGTCTCCTCTGGTGCTGGTAGACTCTCCGCTTGAGATTCCTCTATGACGACGTCGTCCGCGCCCTCTTCCGATCCAAGGATGGCTTTGTATATAGCACCAGTGACACGATCCCGGAAGGAGAGGCTGAGAAGTAAACCGGCACCGTCCTTTGAGCGGCTCATCAGGGCCAGAACGAACCAGGCTTCGGAACGTAGGATGGGCCACTTCTCCTGCGTGACGAGGAATGCCAGGAGCAGACCGACGTCGTGACGGGAGTAAAATTCCTCCCGCCGCTTGCTATCGTCCTCTCTGTCCTCTGGCTGCTCCGGATCCCACTCAGGCAAGATGGGCTTGGCCGGGTTCGAGTGCAGTGCACGGCAGACGACGGCAACTGAGCGGGCGGCTTCTAATTTCGTCGGCTCGGCATCCGTGCGGGTAAAGAGGGTGGTCATGGCATGCACGGTGGAGCGGTCGTGCGCGGGGCTCGCGGTGTCGCTGCTGAGACGAGCGCAGACGAGCTTCACGTTGGGCACGCAGTTGACCAGGAGGAGGCGTGTGAGCGAGATGGCGGAGAACTGCACTTGGGGTAGTGTGTCCAATGTGAAGATCCGCGGGATACATGATGAATCCAGCAGGCCAGACAGAAGCTCCTTGTTGGGTGCAGGAATAGCCAGGTTTTTGAGAAACGATAATGATGCATGGAGAACTTGAGGGTCTCCGATCTCTGGGTTGGAGAGGAGGGCGATCAGGGGCTCGTGAGCTCGATGTGTCTGGACAAGAGCCAATGAAGCTTCGTCGGAGCGAGAGATGTTTCCCAGCGCAAGACAGGCTGCTGATATGAGGGCATTGTTGGGGACCTGGAGCCATTGAAGGAGGGTTTGTGGAACTGAGGAGCCCAGAGGGTGGTGAACGGGGAAGTTGTCATTCGCGGAGATGTCTGACAGGGAAGTTAACAATGCAGACCGTAGTTGTTTCAAAGCGTCGGCTGAATCCGAATCATCGAGTTGGTTGATATCGAAAGCAGTCAGTGAGTGGCGATACGCATCAAGCAGGAAACCGAAATCATCTCCTTGTACCATTGCCTCTTGGAACTTGGCACCGGCAAGATAGGCAGCCGCTGAAGAGGCAAGGGAAACGAAGTCATCTGCATCGCTACTGAAAGGAGGCTGTAAAGCCAGACGTAGAAGTATAGGAACTGTGCTCGGGTGTGCCACAGTGGCCTCGCTCTCATGGCCAGATAGCAGGAAGAGGATCTTGCAGAAATAAGTCACGAAGGGTGTATAGTTTGTCAAATTTGGCGACTGTAGGAGCGTAATGAGTTGCTGGTTCAAGAGGGCCTTGGATGCTGCTATTTGGGCAGGTTCTAGTACTGGTCGTCAATAGGGTTGTTCTGGGTGAATACTTCATCAATGTGGAATGTGTCTCACCATAGTCGACTAATATGTTGTACAGGACTGGTACGGTGAAGGGAATGAGACTCTCATCTTGCAGGCGGTGCACGATGGCAACCAGATGATTGCCCTCTACCACCCGTCCTCGATTTACATCTGTATCAGCACAAGAGTTGCCAACAATCCGTAGAGCATGCAAGTGAAGCGTTGGGCTGATTCCATCGAGAGCAACAAATCTAATGAAGAACTCAAGGATCCCTGATTCCCCAAAGGGTACCCGCCATGCCACTGCAACATTATGTCAGTGGGGGTTTATCATGGGTAGTGAGCAGTTGGGGAGGGGATTTCGGTGCTCACCATCTCGACTGCCGTCACCGATTTTCTCCGCGAGGAGGTCGATGACGGACAAGCTCGAATCCCAGGCAAGCTGGCATGTAGCCAAAACAGGGGCCAGGAGCTGCGTCCTTCGCTGCACAGCAGCTTCCGAGTCTGAGGCCTCACCAGGATACCCCTCACTGCCCTCTCTCTTCAGGAGAAGGGCAATATCATCCGGGGTCAACATAGTCATCGTTGGTGACGTTGTGGTGCTGAGAAAAGGATTATATGAAATGGCGGGGCGGTGTTTGGTAGATGATAAATCCGAAAGGCCCAATCACATTTCACGAGAAGGGATCGCCTTCTTTCCCCTTCTCTTCCTTTACTCGATAATACACACGACTTGCCAATGATTTCGCTAGATAAGAGGGGATTCTTGTTCTCCTTACAGGTGCATCCTAATGATAGATTGCACCAGGCAGAACGTTATGATCTTACATGTGGACTAGGTCTTGCCAATGCCCCACCCTCTCTGTAACTCGCTGGTGGCTTAGATCGACCTTTGTACCACGAAATTGTAGAGAGAAAAAAAAACCCCGTAATTAATCTAGTAGTAACCAGCAACATTTTTTTTACGAGAAACTGATATGCTGATCTTTCATGGTGGTTATGGATCAAAAGCACAACTCGGGAACTCTTTTCTTCCTCGGGGTTGAGGATGTTATGTTGGGTATAGGGTAGCGCCGGCACTAAATCACAATACTATCGGTAAGATTTGATAAAAAGATGTACCTTCTCTGAATGGGAATCAATGCATTGGAGAAGTCTCGAAGGTAAACTACAAGGTCCAGGTATCTAATTGGCCATTTCTTAGCCTAAAAATTAAAGTGATACATATGGCTTCCTTTCTCGGCTCTACGTCGGCAAATTCTTTTTTTGCGCCTGGGTTCCCGATTCTCGGCAACATCCGCCGATCTCCGTGTAAAAATCGACCCTTTGCCTTCTCAAGGCTTCTACAGTCAAAGCGATCGCGCATCCCAGCAGCGAGCCCAGTCGCTCCCACGCACTTCCTGCCCTAGGCCAACGACGAAGCCTTGTGCTTGTTTTGATAGTGTTGTATTAAATCTGACACAATGGTAAGCCTGCTCCCCTCAAGGTTCCTTTCGTCCATCTTCCTTTCGAGCTGGTGTGCGGCGCATAACCCTCGGCTTGATGTGGTGGTGAAATGGAATACCTGGACCATTGAAGTTTTTGTATTCAGCGAGGCTTACACCCTTCTCTTCAGGCGCACAAATTCGTCATCACAGCCTTCCTCACAGGCTCACGAATCCTCGGCCGCTCCTTCGTCGCAGCATACCGCCAGGCCCAGGCCTCCACCGCATACCAGCGTGCCCAGGCCAAGAACGGGAACGCCGCAGGTGGCCGCGCCCTCGCCGGGAGCATGACCCTCGACGAGGCCTGCCGCATCCTGAACGTCAAGCCCCCCGCCGGGGGCCAGGCCAACATGGAGGAGGTCGTCGAGCGCTACAAGCGTCTCTTCGACGCCAACGAACCCCAGAAGGGCGGCAGCTTCTACCTCCAGAGCAAGATCGTCCGTGCTAAAGAGCGGTTCGAGGCTGAGCTGGGACCTATAAGAGACAAGCTAGAAGCGGAAGCGGAGATAAAAGAAGGGTTCAAGCCGAAGGTCTACAAGGACTCGTAGGCGATGGACCCGGAGGGGAAGCAGCATGCTTGAAACGACTCACTTAAAAAAAATAACGACTTCTTGGGTACCCCCCCCTGTTCCGGCCTTGGTTCACAAAGCCATCCAGGCGCTGGGCAGGGTTGAGACATCGTGGGCCTGGGGCGCGGAAACGAAAATCTATTGGGAGGGGACTACCCTCCCATGTATTACATGTACATCTTCTCTCTACTGCAGCATGGCACGGCGTTTCTGGACTGATAGATAATAAGGGCTCGCAGAGTCAATGACCGGTGGCTGGGCTAGACGAAACCAGAAAAAAAGGCCTTTTTAGTACTCTATAGTGTAAATACATTTTGTCCACTATACTCCGTTCTGCAGCAGTGTCCGGCTTTTGAATGATGAGAGGTACCTTTTTATTCAAGGCATGCCGTGAGGCTCTATAGTTTTTTCCTGAGCAGTCCCTTCCAGTAGTCAAAACTGTTTTCGTCGCTCTGTAGCGCCCAGAGTTTCCCGGTGCCTCTTCCGTGCATGTCGATTTCCTCAACACGAAGCATTCCCCAATCCCTCGTGATGCCGAGGACTCTGGCTCTGACACCGCCTTCCGCCTCTAGGGTCACTTCCTGTCCAGTATGCAGCCAGTGTTTGTAGTAGCGTTTCTCAAGATCAGCCGAAAAGCCTTGGCGAAGGAACTGGGCATGTAGGGACTCGAAAGTGGTCAAGAAGCGTGCCAGTAGCGTCTCGATACGCAAAGGTGCGACGTCCGGGGGGAGGAGGTCCGAAAGAGATATTGTTGGTTTCCGATTGGTGGCGTTTACACCGACGCCCAGGACGGTCTGATAGTTTCCGTTGAAATAGGCACATTGTGACAAGATACCACCGATCTTGGTGTAAGCCGGTTTGTTTTTGGGCGAGGTTGGGTCGAGGGCATCTACATGAAATGGAATAAGTGCATGTCTCAACCGACACCGTTTCGTAGGCAGAACGTACATATGTCATTTGGCCACTTTAGCTTCACGGGCATTGCTTCATAGCCCTCATCGTAGGATTGGATGGCTTCCACAGTCGCAATCGCGGCAAGATACTGGAAAAATACAATGGGGTGGGACATTGACAAATGACCTGGGTGGTTGATGATTGTTGAGAAGATGAGACAGCCCGGCGGTGCGATGAAGACGTTTGTTCCGCGCCCGCGCGCAGCAACTTGAGTCGTAGCAGCGACGGTGAAGCCCGTGGGAAGCTGCTCTAGCAACTTGGGATTCCTGCTCTGCTGTTAGCAGCTTGGATAAAAGGGTGACTGGGACATGTTCGTACTTCTCCACTATAGTGTTCGTGCTGGTCAAAACCTCGCCGTACAGCAAGACACTTCCCCAACCCTCCGGCTTGCCTTCGAGCAATTGGTACTTCTTCAGGCTGGAGTAATATAATTTGTGGTCAAACTGAGGCGTTTCGCTTACGGAAGGCAATGAATTCTCGTGACAGACAAGTTCTTTAATAACTTTACTGTAATCCACAAAATGATTGCCATCGGTGGTAGGAAGTGAAGATTTGAGTTGACTCATGTCAAGAGACGCCTCGTCACTTCGGATCTTGAAGGTGTCAACCTCGCCCCTGATAAACTCCTGGCCGTCCTCATTCTCAATGATGGGCTTCCAAGAACTGAGAAGCTCCGAGACCTCGGAGTTGTTGATCGAAGTGAGATGTAGGCTGGACAAGGCAGGCAGCCCCCCGCCCCCTTGGACAGGTTCAAGACCCAATTTCGTGAAGAGCCCGCGCAGCAAGGACATCCTCGCAGCATCAGCAGCTCCGATACTTTCAATGAGTTTATCATAGTTGGGCACATCGGGATGCGGGTTCAGATTTGCCGGAGAAAACCTGTCGAGGAAGAATGAGCTTCAAGTTAGATATCTTGGTAGGTATTGGCGAGACTTACTCAGGGTGAGGGCCGCTCAAGACGACTCTGCCATTACCGAATTTCGAGAAAATAATGGCCGCCTTTCCATCACCTCCATCGACATCAATATCTTCGTCGTAGGAAGCCAGGACCTCAACCTTGTTGCCCCCGACCGTCTTTGCATCAACGAAGACTCCACCTCCGTTGAAGTACGATACGACCTGGTCAGGGACTTGGCCTCCGAGGAGTTGCGGTTCAGTCCTGAGCTTGACTGCCCGCGCGCCACCCTCTCCACGGTACTCGAAGCCCTTGAAAGCACCGCCTCGGCACGTGCCCGGGAAGAAGCCAAGCTCGCGGCTCCCAATTACCTCCATCCCCTTGTTTCCAACCTCAAATTCGCATCTACGGCAGCCATAATAAGATCCGGCACAGAAAGCCAGGAACGAACCCCCTCGGCGGACATAATCGCTGATGCGCCGGTTGCCCTCGCCATTGAGGACCCGGCAGTAGCCGAGGTCGGCACCGCCAGGTATCACCAGCAGGGCACAGGTGGGAGCCCATGGCTCTTTGAGAATGACGGATTCATTTATGGGAATGACTGCATAATTGGGCGATAGGAGCTGGCGCAAGGTGAAGATGCAATGCCTGACAGACTCGGAGGTGGTCCCGGTACCTTTGAACGAATGAGATGAGGGGTTCCGTGAGAATCAGTGGTTTTGGAGGGGATATTGACCTGTGTACACAAGTACATTGAGTTTCCTTGCTGCCATGTCGGAATATACCGCCAATGTGGAAAAAGGGATCGAGGATTGGCTATGTATAAAATGAAATTTAAGAAAGGTTGTAATAAGGAGAGAGCGTAGAATGGCGGAGAGAAAAAGAAAGTATGAAAAAGCCTGGGGCTCTGTCACTGGGACATTGATATGCTCGGTAGGTGTCTAGCTTGGTACGAAAATATACTGAGTGTTAGGCGATTATGAGACCACCTGTTCTTGCAAAAATTCAATGCTATTGTCTCAGCCCACTTGACGAAACAGAAGCAGGCCGAATTGCAGCCAACTGGTCTCGAATATGTCTACCAAGGAAGAAGTAAGGAAGGAGGACGCGACGCAAGTCGAAGACGACGATGAACCAGATGAGTGGTGAGTTTTGTTGAGGCCAGCCGCTACAGACCTGAGCCGGTGCTCCGAGGCTGTTGGCATTGATCTTATGGACGCTGACACGGCTGCCTACCAGGGACAAGCGAATCTTTAGCACAGGATGTGCCGGTGAGTTTACTTTTCCTTATTGCGTGCCCATATCTACGCATCTGGAATTCCTTGCACTGCTGCTGCATGCGGGTGTCTTCTCTCTCGTGCCCTGTTCGCCCTGTATCCATTCGCTGGCGGTGTACACAACATCAGCTAACAACAACGAATGCCATATAGATGAAAACGCCAAGATGACAGACTGCTACTTTGAGAAAAAAGACTGGAGAGCATGTACCGAAGAGGTCAGTCCTACATGATCCATATCGCATCTCTTGCCGCATGCTCACATCGCTGGGTAGATGGCCCTATTTAGAGAGTGCTGGAAGAGCCATGGCAACAATGAACGGACAGGCACCAAAGATGCCTAGAGCTACCTTAGAGATAGGCTTGTGCAACCTCACACACTACGGATAGAGAGACAGATCCCCCTCTCCTATTATTGTATACTATTGTAACCAATTGTTTAAACTTGTACCAATTCCAGTCACTTCTTTCAGTTTTCAAGACAACAATTATCCTCTAGCGCCAAGGTTGCATGTATCCAAGGCAATTGGCGGCTTGCACCACCTATTTGAGCTCCTCGAACCAATCAAGGGACGGTCCCCACTTATGACGGCAGCTTGGTCCAGTGCAAGAAAAAAAAGTATTGAGGTTGCAACCAACATCCAACCTCAGAAATCCCAACCTGCATCTTCCATTTACTCCATCTTCCCCCAATTCACCCCATTGCAACCTCAGCGCAGGCGGTAATGCTTTCCCTCCGCCGAACGCTGCACGCCCTGCCGAGGCAGGCAGCTGGGCGTGCCTTCATCGCTCGGCCAGTCACCCGCCCAGTTACCCGTTTCTCCTACAGTGATTCCCCTTCTCCAGCAACACCAGCTTCGAATCCCGCGACAGGTAGCTCGACACCTGCTTCGACTCCCGCAGCAGGCAACCCAACGCCAGCCTCGACCCCAGAGCCCGCACCAGCAGAGGCCAAGCCCGTGCAGACGCCAGCGGCAGAGACCGCAAAAGGACCGAGCGCACAACCAGCAGCTGCGTCAGCGAAGAAGCCATTGCCAGTAAGGAGATCAGTGGCTTTCAAGAAGGCATTCCCAGTGAAAAAGCCGGCCCCACCCAGTCCCCAGAAACCAGCGCCACGGCGTCCGGAGCCCGCATCTCACGACCAGGCGGAAGGGTCTCCCAACGCAACCCGGGCCTCCCAGTTCGTGTCTGGCACTCCGGCCAAACCAACCGTCTCGACCGATCTGCCGCCGGAGATCCGGGCTCCCACGAGTCCCATGAAGAACACCTACGAGGCCAAGACCGTCACCGTCTCCCACCCCAAGGAGCATGCGACCAAGTATGACATCGACGTACCCTGGGACGCCAGCTTCCACGGCATCTCCACCCGGCCCGTGACCGCAGGGCAGTTCAAGGTTCTGATGCGACCTATCGACGAGGAGGATATCGAGGTCAAGCCCGACGGGATCATCTACCTCCCCGAGATCAAATACAGGCGGCGGCTGAACGAGGCCTTCGGCCCAATGGGCTGGGGCATGATCCCCAAGAGCGACCCCATAATCAACGGGCCCATGGTGACCCGAGAGTATGCTCTTATTGTCGATGGCCGGTAAGCACATCCACATGGCGGAGATGAAGAATTTGGCGATCTTTGCGTAGAAGATGGAGTACTGACACTGAATATTATAGATTCGTCTCCCAAGCGCAGGGCGAGAACCACTTCTACAACGAGGAAGGTATACCTTCAGCGGTCGAAGGCTGCAAGTCGAATGCCCTGATGCGATGCTGCAAGGATCTGGGCATCGCGTCCGATCTCTGGGACCCTCGATTCATCCGATCCTTCAAGAAGGAAAAGATGGAGGAGGTCTGGGTTGAGCACCAAATCACCAAGAAGAAGCGGACCCTGTGGTTCAAGAAGGGCCAAGTCGATGTGTTATATCCCTTCAAGCGAACTTGAGGGGCAGTCACCGCCCAGTAGATGATCTAGACTCGAGTTGGAAAAAAGTACGGCGCCGGGGGACAATTGTAAAATTAGAGGGGCAATTGGTAGGTCTATTGTACGATATTAATAGATGGGAATGACCGCCACTGTACACGAGATACCGGACTAGCTATCAAGAATAAGCGAGTTTCTGTATATAATCCTGTTGGTCTGGACTTGCTGCGCCTGAATCAGAACAACCAACGATAGCACCCGGGCCACTTTCTCCTGCTACAAGGAATTATGCCCAATGACGCCGTGTAAAGCCTGTGAGGATCCGTCTACCTTAACGAAACGAGCACGCCAAACAAGACCTACTCCCGAACAATTCGTTTCTCGCAGGGGGGAATTTCCGTTCTACTTGTCTACACCAGAACTGGCTCCAGGTTCAGAGCCGGCGCCCCAGCCCCAGGGCACCCAGGAGCCTCCCTTGTTGCCGGGCGTGTTTCGCTTCCGGATGGAGCTCTCATCTTCTGCGCCACTCTCTGCCTCGATCTTCTCGAAATCGGCCTCGCTGCGGCTCTTGTTAAGACCGCCCCAGATGCCGCCTCCAACTCGTTGGGTGGGCTCGTCGTCACCACCGTCCATGCTCATTGAGGAGGGACGGTCAGTGGCCTGGGCTTCCTTCTGTTGGAGAGCCAGCGCCTCCTGGTCGAGCGCGGATAGAAGGGTATTCAGGCGCTCGCGCTGGATCTCGATAAAGCTCATCTTCTCGCCTGATGACTTCAGGTCTGATGGGATGAGTTTATCTCTGGGAATGGAACCCCCGCCGGCGTTTCCAGCAGCGGCGCCTGAAGCGGCCGCGACGGCTCCGGCGAGCATGCTGTAGATGTCAGTCCCTGCTGTGGCAGAGCCCGCCCATCTAGCTGTGGGAACACTAAACCGAGCAAGAAGAGACTGGGTGTAACTCTGCGGGCCGGCCGGTTCTGGGGTTGGCGGGGTTGGCTCCGTGGGTGGAAGACCCAGGACTTTGGTCTTGATGTACTCGATGGCATTTTTGAGGTAGGCTATGCCTGCGGTCTTGAGGCGCTCGTGCGCACTGGCAATGAACTCGTCGATATGGCCCTCGTTATCCTCGAGGAAAGGGTGGACATATCTTTCGTAGAGCTCCCGCGCGCCTTGGGTTTGTGGTAAGATCAGGTAGAGTAGGAAGAGAAGGCGGATGTATCCGTAGAAGGGGATCCTGTTGGTTGGGATTTGGTTAGCGGGGTGGGATTAGGCAAGCTGCGCGACCCAGAGGAACACGAAAGACAAGTCTGGAAGCCAAGTCAAGATCGAGTTGGTCTTGTGAAACGTACCATACGAGGATGAATGACACCCAAGATTCAGCCAGCAAGCAGCAGCTGAAGACGACCCAGTACATGAGCCATGGTGTCAACTGGGCGGGATCGGAGGTCTTGAGAGCTTTGTAGGATGCGAAGATAGGGAACAGAAAGGACGCGACGGATCTAAGTTGTGCGCTCGCGCAAGCAGGCGCGATAATGTCAGTAATCGCTCGCAGACTGCTGGGTGGTGACAGTGACGTTGGTGTGGTGGGCGCCGCCATGGCGGGGCATCTTGGAGGGTCGTGTGGGCGGACTTACGATAAGAGCATGGGCAAGAGGTCGAACATGGCTGTGGAATCGGGAGGCACAAGCCTCGGCGTCGCCAACTCAGTGAGTGGATGTGAGCGATGCTAAGCTAGAGAAGAGGAAATCCAAGGACGGGATTTCACATCAAAGAAGAATAAGAAAGCATTGAAGACGCAGAGTGATAAGTAGGAGGCGGATGTCAGGAACAACTACCCCCCTCGCAAACGGATTAGCGTTCAGCTAGGTAAGCCTAGCAGCAAGGCCTGGTGACGGTGGGACGTGATTTTCGGGTCCCCGCAGCGGGCGGCTGGTGAGTGGAACACTGGAATGAGTGCTAATAGGCTGAGCAAATCGGTACGGCAGGGCTGCTGTGCATTGTTAGCAGCGCATTTTTGGTACGAGGTGCTTTATCGGGGGGGGGGCTGGTTATCACCCGCGCTGTCGGGCGCGCGTGACATTGAGGGGCAACTCACGAGTGCTGGTGATGATGGAATGCGCGGCTAGGAGCGGGTCTTATTGGACCTACACGGTGACGGGCTGTGTAATGAAGAAGAGCAGGCAAACGAGGCTCGTGAGGCTCGTCATGGGAGATAGAGGAGTGGCCATCGAGCTCGACTTTTAAGGTTCCCTCTCAATGAGGCCAGGTATGGGATCAGCACCCAAACCATCTACGGGCAGACGTAGCTTCAGCAGGTGCCTAACGTTCTTCGTTGCCCCAATGACACGCGCCTACTTGCTGCCCGCTTTGGCGGATAGCTGCAGTCCCGATGCTGGGTGCCTAATCGCAATACCGAATTCACTCACTAACTGGTAAACGTGTCTCCTATCTGTGGTGTACGAGAACTCGACCAGTCTTGGGCCAGTGACAAGTGTCCTTTCGAGCTCAAGCCTGTGATTCTGCAGCAGGCTCTGCATAAACAACACTGCGGTGGCCCGGCCATGCCCCAGTTGGGCTCGCCAGCATCTTGGTGTCCAAAGTGGCAGGGAAGGAGCCTTTGACTCAGATGTTGGGTGCCACTTTCTCCCTCAATGCCAGCCAAAGACTCCTCCTCATCAGTCATTGAAATGGAATATTTGCATTTCGTCCTACCCTAAAGGACGACGAGTTGCTTCAGCTCTTGGTAAGTAATATATCAAATAGGTTTATGGTTGTGTAGAAACTGTTCAGTTATATTATCAAATTACCTATCTAACATGTCGTGAACCTTTTAGTTGCTCTTGGTTGCATACGAGGCTTTCGACAGAGCCTCAGTCAATACTTTCACCGACTCGTCCTGCTTTTCTGTCACTTTCCATGCAATAACTCCATCAGGGCGAACCAATGCTGCTCCATTTTCGTTCAACCCGTAGACGTCGTTGAAGCTCCCCTCAGCCTCTTCCACAATATCCTTCCCAATACAAGCAAATTCGACGGTTATCCCAAGACTCTTCGCAGCTGACTCAACTGATTGCTTCCACTCTTCATCACTTGAAATCACCACCCATTCGGTACCGAAAAGATCGAGTGTTGAAATTGTCTCACCATCTTTTTGCAGAGAGACATGGGCTGCCCTTGTGCCGGGCTGGGCCTTCCATTCAGTGGGGACCTTGGCAAGAGGGAGGTTTTCGCCCGATCCGAGAATACCATTTGAGTGATAGATCTGGCCAAATTCCAAAGCGTTGTCGTCCAGGATTTCTGCGTCCTTACCAGGCCACTCTAGGTCCTTCGCATAGCGCCGGTAATCCTGTCGAGCAAAGATCTGGTCATGTCGGACAACGGCAACAGGCTGACGCTCTTGGGTATATGTCTCCAGGATCTCTGTTCGGGACTTGCCCTGCAGGACAGAGGCTAACTTCCAAGCCAGATTGTGGACATCGGCAATGCCAGTGTTGGCACCGAAGCCAGCGCGGTTTGGAGGCAATGCGTGGACTGCATCGCCAGCGAGGAAAACTCTCCCAGAAGAGTACTCGTCAGCAACCAAGCCACCAATGTCCCACTGACCAGTAGTGATGAACTCGACATCATCGCCTGTAAGATCAGAAAGCCCAGTGGCCTTTCGAATCAGGCCCAGTTTCGTCTCAGGATTATCAAGGTCTTCAGTCCCGTCACTCCACGCCAGCATCCAGCGACCCTCGCCGTAGGTGGTCATGAAGGCCTCGAATTCCCCATTCTGGATTTGGAACTGGGAGTAACCATGGTCAAGATAATGGTTGATACGGGGGCACTTGAATAGGATGCTCCGCAGAGCCCTTAGGATACCAACTCCCTGGCGTTTGATGCCGAGTTTATCTCGGACTGGGCTGCGTGCCCCATCGCACGCCACGAGATACTGGCCTCGCAGTGAGTACTCAGTTCCGTCGGGATTTGTCGCCGTCACTGTGACGCCTTGGTCATCCTGGGTCCAGTCCAGCACCTTGTGGCCCAGCCTGAGCTCGGCGCCAAGCCTGATAGCATGAGTCCGGAGAACGGGCTCGATGATGTCTTGAGCAACGGCAACTCCCTGGACGTGAGAGTAGACTGGACCTGGGGGAGGACCCTTAGGAGCTTCTTTGCCCCCTTTCTCATCGGCGGGAGGCGCAGATGCAGTTTTCTTTTCGGTCCAAGCGACCTCGTTCTCCCACTTTCCAGAGAGACTTTCGACAACGACTCGCTTTGGTGGACCGCCTTTCCACATGATACCCTTGAGATCGTCAGATGCGCCGACAGTCTTCAGAAACTCGATGGTGCGGGCCGTATAACCGACCGCCCGAGGATGAAGGGCGCTTGAGGGGTGTCGCTCGAGGACAACCACAGGGACTTTCCAGTGGGAGAGAAACAGCGCAGCAGACAGGCCAACAAGGCTGCCGCCTATCACAATGACTGGGTAATCATGAGACTGTGCCATGGTTGAGGTGTGAGAATCAAATGCAGTTGGGTGAAGTCACTGTTGTTGCTGGCCGTGTAAGCAGTTGATAGTTGGATCGGTTGATTGATTGATTGCTTGTTTTCTTCCTCATTTTCATCGATTGAATGTGATGACATGCAGACGCTTTTATAATGTGAAAACTTAAGGTTTGGTTTTGCGATACCAACAAACAATTTGGCTTGTATTCCATCCCGGAGAGTAGTGACGTCCGGGCGATTCTCCCAGCAGTTGGAATCGGCCATTACTCCACTGCCGGAGTTCCAATCGGGCTGGTGGAGCCTTTGGTGATGGCTTCGGTCCCGACAGACCGCCTGGCTGCCCGGATCGGGCAATTGATCTGTAGGAGGTCTTCCGCGGCAGTTTGCATCTCCCCGGAGGAAATTGGATATCAATCAACTATTGTAAAGGCCATTCTTGTGTTTTCTTTTCAGCGGCCTAGACAAGAACATCATCACATACTGGATGGTTCCAGAACCGCCCTCGCATGGACATTTGAATTCCCCGTGTCGTGGGTCTCTCGTCCACATGCCAGCTTCAAATCAATGTATGCTATATTTTTTTATGATTTATCACGATATGACAATATGTGATAGCCCATAAAAATAACAGTCTTTTTAAATTGCGTTCTTATTAGTTTAGCTCTGAAAACAAAGTACTATCATAGATATCAACTCATCACCATACCACTCTCAAAGACTGATCAATACCAGCCTTATTCCTGCCTCCGTCCTCCTACCCCGGGAATTCATGTCTAGGGTATTTCCTACTCATAAGCCCATGCGTGCACCCTCCTCATTAGTCCTCTTTGAAACTCCAGCAGCGTTGAAATATTAGATATGAGAGGTGGCTGGAGGGTGTGCACAAGTCAAACTGTGCCGTACTAAACTGCAGCAGTCGCTCCGTTGGCCCCATTGGCGGTTGTGGGTTGGGTGTCGACGCCATTTCCCACCCCGTCTATGCCGCTGGCGTGGTAATCTCCCTTCTCGCGGATAACAGGGCGGCCGGCTTCCGTGGTGTTCAGACCCAGGCTCTCGAAACTGATGTTGCGATGACCCCAGAGAAGGAGGAATGGGAAGACGACCTTGGCGAGGAGGTCTAGAATGCCGTAGAATATGGCCTCGGAGTCTGGGTGGATGACATTGCCGCCTTCGGAGCAACCGAAAGCAATGGGATACAGAAGAAGAGTGGTGATCAGGACGATGCCGGAGATGTTGTAGGTAGTTCTAACTGTTCCCCCAATGTTGTTCGCACCACGGCGTCCAACAATGAGCACAGAGTAGGCTATATATAGGAATGCAGCAACACCAAAGGTCCAGAATCCCCATTTGTAAGTGGTCTGGGTAAGTGCACCGAGCAAGTAGCATACCACCATGGCCTCGTCAACCAAGATGACAGCCAGCAAGGTAGACCAAGAGACGCTTGCCGTCAGGAGGAGGGCCGAGAGAAGGAGAGGTGTAGTGATGAACCAGTCGATATACCGAGCATAGAAGATCTCTCGAGTACCGGCAGCTACCACCTTGCCACCGCGGACGAACTCGACCTGGATGGGGACTTGCCCCAAGTTCGAGGCCACGGCGAAGTTGGAGACACAACCGACGAAGAGCGCAACCATGATTAGCTGATGGAACAGCCTTTGGTGTGCCGGGCGTGTAAAGGAATGGCCAATGACTGCCAGACAGCACGCGCCCATTATGGAACAGACGGTGAAGATCCAGTCTGAGCCTCGTATGGTGATTCCGAGATCAGCCTGTTCGAACACACTGTTCACGTCGAGTGCTTGGTTCCCCATGATGCGGATATAGGAGTGTGTCGGGATGAATTGTAGATGTAGAACTGCCCAGTCGAGCTCGGGTTTGCTTGTCTACCTGTGACGATGTACACAGCCATCCCGTCCCCCATCCGCATCCCGTCGAGACTATATAGTTTTTCCATTACATGCCAGGATCTCTGGATTGGAGCTCCAGAATTGGGCTGATGTGGTCATCGTCCAGGATAGATGCTACCCAGGAAGCTTCGGAAGGTTCGTCTTGTGATGCGATGCGACCCGGAAGCCGGGCTTGGGCTCCCATATCACGCCACGTTGACCGATGTGGATCGACTCGCGACGATGTTGGAGCTCTGAGAATGAAGCTATCACAAGGCCACACGCCAATGCTGTTGATGCCGGAAAGGCCGGACGTCACATCCCCCGCAATTTTAAGATGCTGGACCGCTTGATGGTGGGTAGCAGCGACCCTAAACAAACTCCGAGAAATGCCGATGTCTTCTATTTGGCCGGTTTGACAGGCCTTCTAGCGTATAGAAGGCTGTCGGTGACATTGAAGCTGGGGCCAGCTGCAGCTTCTGGCGGTGACGTAGATGCATGGATCCCGTTCATGTAAGTCTCGGTGAAGATCGAGAGAGTGAACGATGGAGGCCTTGATATAAGTTAAAATATCTCTAGTGGACTATCTTATGCTTTTAATTAGATTTCTAAGGCCTGAAAGGAGGCATCAGGTGAGAACAGTGCAGTTCTGATCACTTCTCTTCTCGTAGACAAGGCTGACGGCACCTTGAGCGCTGCCCAAGCTTCACCATTCTCCTCTTCGTGCTACGCCAGAATCCATGCAGCGATCCGACTTGCCGGCAAACATCCCGGTGTCACGGGTCACACGATTCCACTCATTCGGCCGGGATTGTCGGCAGCATCATGCGTCGGTCATACAAGGAAAGTGAGGCATGATCCTGCTCCTTGAATCCATTGGCCAGGTATCCGGACATCATCTCATTCACTATCATGGAGCATTGAATAAACAAATTGAGTGAGGAAAGTATCTTCAAATTATCTAATCAGGGCTGGTTGGTTGAGAGGGCGAAGTCTGCCCTCCTGTCTCATATGATCGCCCTATCCTCATTCCACCCTGCCCGTGAAAACAGAGCCAAAACACAAGAAAAATTCCTTGGCTTTGATGATCCCTCTGAACCATCCCGATCGCCCTTTCTAATCCGAGCTCGAGGACGGGAAATTTGGCATTTTCATGCCGCTCGTTAGCACTCCTCACCGTCTTCACAGCACGTGGAAGCTCCCCACTTGTGACAGAAATTGACCACTCAACGCATATTGAGAGACGTGGAGCCAGGATCAAGTCACAAGGGAAGGAGAATTCTCGGTGTGTTGATTACACCCATAGAAAGCATAGTTGGTGAATAATGGCCATTGGAATTGCACATTTCAAGGCTGGGATCGAATCCTAGTACTCATCTCTCTGGTTCGGCACGAGGTTCCGTTGGCCATTGTATAAGCGACGGCCATGGCTAACTACTTCTCCCTCGCGTAAGACGGAGTGACCTTCTCTCTGAAGGTGAGATGATATTTCATATTACATGAACAAATCCCCTAGTTTCCAACCATGATCAAGGCATGAAGGACTGTAAGGTGCCATTTACTCTTAGTCTATCTTGTCTTCTGATGTTGTGATCAGTTCAAAGGCAGAGAATCCATAATACCCGTCCATATCCACTTCCGGAGCCATATCTGCCTCCTGGACACCTTATTTCTCCCTCTAGTATCCATTCATCCTTTTGTCTCAACCACTCGCTCGCCTTAGATCCGCGACTTTAACATCGCACTGGGGCACGGCCTCGCGACCATGGAATATTTGATTACAGGGTCTTCAATACGTTACAGTTGATAACCGCAATTTTCTTTTCTAGTAGTATCATGGCTTTGAAGGATTGTTTCTATGTTCTCCACATGCCACTGACAGCCGAACCTCTTCCCCAGCCTTCACCCCCCTTGAGTTAGCATGTCTCACAGGACGGACCAACAATTGAGACGAGGTGATTGACCCTAGCGTGCTGGAACTCAGTACTAAGCTTGAGGTCACGGAGCCGACGTGAGATCTAGGAATTTAGTGAGCAGCTACCAGTCTAGTAGCTATCCGTCGCTGGCAATCAAGCTGAAGCAAATATCATATTAAAAGAGGAGATGTGAGAGTTTGTGTACTTCAAATGCAAAAGGATGTCTAACAACAAGTCTAACTAATCAGGCCACGAATAAACCGTCGTCACACCAGAGCCTGGCGGCACTAGTCGAGGCTGTAAGAATACATGATTGCTATCTCACGGGACTGTTTTCCCTTCATCCAATGGACTCATCCCTCACCGAGCTGAATGTTTGCTTTGGCCCGAGTTATCTCAATCTGCATTTCTGTATTGAGCTGTGCCTCAGGGGTAAACAAAATATGGTTGTCTTGCAATAACCTGTGCCTGGAATTTTGGGAAATTTTGGGTCGTGGCAGATCGAGAGTGAGAAGACACTCATGACTTCCCGCATGCTTGCTGGTCCTTTTCCACCGAGAGTGGCCCTTGACTAACATGACTGGCTACCGGGGGTGATGAATGAGACACCGTACTGGGAGAATGGAGGCTATTTGGCTATCCCCCTGGGCAGCATTCTTCACACAGAACAGAGGGCGCCACTGTCTCATTATCTCGGATGCCAAACTCCAGACAAACGTTTTCGCGCCCTGATGTGCATTCGTCGCCAATTCATTTCGGGCAGGGACTGAAAATACGATCAGGATGAACCAAAGCGCGTGTCGTTGCTCGGGTTTCCAGAAGTATAAATCAACTCTTCCATCCCGTGGTCAAGAGTTTCTTTTTTCTCATCAGCAACAATCAGCACTCTCGGCTTCATTCGCTTGAGCTTCCCGAGTTTTCTTAGTTTAGTCGGTCTTTTCTATTCTTTCACTCTTTTAAGAACGGATTCTATCATGTTTTTCGCTCCCCTTCTGGCTCTGGGCCTGAGCAGTGTTGCTCTGGCCCAGAACAACACGGCTATACCCAACATTGCGGGCCCTGCGGTGACTCCAGCTCCGTTGACTCCTCCGACGACCGTCAACCCCAGCTACGGGTTCCCTGCTCGTGTTGGCGACTACCAGTTCTACGGATGCGTGGGATCTTCCAGGAACTTCCCTTCCTTCGAGAAGATTGGTACCAACCCGCAGATGGACCTTGAGCTCTGCGCTGCAAGCTGCGGATCCCGCTTCTTCGGTGTTGCTGGCACGTAAGTTACTCCTGCCATCCATTGGTGATACTATTCAGTTGCTTACTCTCTCTATTCAGTGACTGCTGGTGTGGCAAGGACATTGACAGCGTTGGCACTGCCCGCGTTCCCAACAGCGTCTGCTCCATCCCCTGCCCCGGTAACCAGAACCAACTCTGTGGCAGCCTCGTTGGCCTCCAACGTCGCCAGGTTCCTAACCTTGTCTACCTGACTGTGTACATCCGCGTTGAGGGCATGGAGGGTGGCCGCTGGTACACTACCACAACCACTGCCACAACCACCGCCACGACCACTGCCACTACCACTGACACGGAGACTACCACTGACACTGAGACTACCACGGCCACTACCACTGCCACTACCACGGCCACGACCACTGTCATAACCACTACCACAACCACCCTCATCAGCGGTGTTCCCACAACCATCACCAACACTGTCACCACCACCGTCAAGCCTCACCGTCCTCACCCAACCTATGAGCCCTACCCCGGTAGAGTCATCATCTGCTTCGGTGACTACTGTCTTCCCCAGGGCCCCTGCAAGAGCGGTCACTGCGAGCGTGAGCGTGTTGTCTGCAAGGACGAGCACTGCTTCCCCGAGAAATGCAAGGACGACAAGTGGAACAGACTCGTCGAGTGCAAGGGTGACAAGTGCCACTACCCCGAGTGCAAGGGTGAGGAGTGCAGGAAGAAGGTTACCTGCTACGACGGAAAGTGCATCAAGGAGAAGTGCTTCGGTGACGAGTGCGAGAAGAAGGTTGTCTGCCACGGCGAGGAGTGCCACCACAAGCCTTGCAAGGGTGAGGAGTGCTACCGCAAGGAAGAGTGCCACGGTGACAAGTGCAAGCCCGTTCCTCACTGCAAGGAGCACTGCCCCGAGCCCAAGCCTCCTGTCTTCCCTCCTCCCTGCAAGGGCGAGTGCAAGCCCAGACCTCCTCCTTGCAACGGTCCTCACTGCCCTCCTCCTTGCCACGGCGAGAAGTGCCTTCTTCCTCCTCCTTGCCACGGTGAGAAGTGCCGTCACCACGGTGAGAAGCACCCTGATCCTCCCTGCCACGGTGAGAAGTGCCCTCACCACGGTGACAAGTACCCCGATCCTCCCTGCCACGGTGAGAAGTGCCCTCACCACGGTGACAAGTACCCTGATCCTCCCTGCCACGGTGAGAAGTGCCCTCACCACGGTGACAAGTACCCTGATCCTCCCTGCCACGGTGAGAAGTGCCCTCCTCACCACGGTGACAAGTACCCTGATCCTCCCTGCCACGGTGAGAAGTGCCCTCCTCACCACAAGACACACACTCCCGCAAGCAAGCCCACTCCTCACCCTTGCTACGGCGAGAAGTGCCCTCCTCCTTGCGATGGACCTCACTGTCCTTCTCACACTGGAGTGGCCCCCCCTTACAAGACCCCCATCATCGCCGGCTCCGAGAAGGTTCTCCCTGCTCTGGGTCTCGGTGCCATCGCTGGTCTGGCTTTCTTCCTGTAAGGCACGGCTTTGACGGAATCGCTCAGGATAGCGACAATTTTCTCCGCCTTTGCTCACTATTCAACCACATCTTGGCAAGCCCAACCTGATCTTGAGAGGAAGGGGAATTGGAGAATTGAGATGCGGGATGACGATAATATTGGGAAGCCATTTTTTTCTCTTCTTTAAAACGACTTTGTTAGTAGGTAGTTTTTTGGATACTTAGGTAGTATTGAATGTTCAATTTACTGATTTACATCAATTAATTTTCTCTGCTTTCATCGTGACTTGATGCCATACAAATCGCGAGGCTGAAATTTCTCCATTCATCATTTATAGTAAACACGATACTAACCCTTATGGCTCCAACCAGATATCTAAGCCTTTGAGCCAGAAATTTTTCAATAGAATTGAAAAAGGTATCCGCGAGCGGCTTCGAAATAGCTCGCGAGTTTCAAAGTGTTAGAGAAACCTAGAACCGGACTCTACTTTATCCTATCATTTGACAGTCTCTTGCAGCTTGGAGCTAACTAACTCTACAGGTAGCCACCTCTTCATTCAGACAGCCAGAACACAACTTCAGGCTTTTTTTGTTCTTGTTGTGAAGTGTCCATTCATCATTGATCAGCGTGAGGCTAAGCGGTTAGTCTGATCAACAACGGCTTTCGCTATATACATAACTTCTGTGAGGTTGCTGGGGTTGAATGTTAAATCTCCAATAACTCCACCAGCAACCCAGCTGGTCATGTTACGTACCAAATGGGCTTTTATTGAAAATTATTTGTCAAGGACTTAGGGGGTAAGATCCATGGCCCATACCAAGTATTGATGCCTATTCCAAATGAGGTGGGAAAACTCGCTAGGGCTCACAGCCCTTCTCTTTCTCGTAGTCAGCTTAATTGATATTGGTATTGTTTTATTCCGGAGATACATTGGGGTCTAATATGAATACTGCCTTGATTTCATCTGGATTATCAATCGCCAAGCATCATCGCTAGCACACACCCCTCTTATGTCCCCAAAATTAAGCTTGAAATGTACAAAATCTTCCAGGCTTTCGCAGTAAGTTGCATATTACGATGGCAATTTATCCCCCTACACAAGCCGACAGAGAGCATGAGGATGTATGTTAGAAGTTGCTGGTTCAAACCCAACCAGGCAATCCGTGAGGTTGCATTCAGAGCTACCCTTCCATTCTTTGCGTCAATGCGAACCTTTCCGGTCATGCCAATGCAGTAATGCTATAGCAGATCAAGACACTCAGATAAGCGAATGAATTCTGATCTCAGAGTCTGGCTTCCGGACGGGCAAGCAGGGTCGCGGAGACAGTAGCGTAAGCACCTCCTGTCTAGCCGGGTCCATGAACTAGCACATAGCTGTCGCCCATCCAGACTTCTCGTGCTATTAGCCAAACGATTGTATGTAGCCACTAGAGATATTGGGTTAGGAGAGAGAGCTCGGATATTAAACCCTCCCTCGCTTATTACTCGCCATTATCACGTTCTGGCTCGAGCCCCAGAAAGCCCAGGTCTTGGTCATCGACGGTGAGCAAAATCGATCCTACGGCCAGCTGCCCAAAAGTTCCGAAATCTGCCATAATACGCGTGCGTGCTCGTCAGTCCAGTCAGGGGTGTTGACTCTATCACATCTGCCCAACGTGTATGCACACTAGCAACGTCCGGTGGCTTGCATGACAATGGCGGCTCCAGCCAGTGAGTGGCATTTGCCAAGGATCTAGGCGCAATTCATTCACGTATCCATCCTGGAATCAATCTCTCCGTGCTTCGTTCTGGTCTCGATCAATTCGGCTGCATCATGGCTCATCCGTCTGGGATCAGGTCAGCTCACAGCTGTCCGTAAGATCCTACATATCAGCCCTCGTACCAGCTACCAGAGCGGGAAAGACATCTGGAGCTCGAACAGGTAACCTACCAACGCGAGACTCCTTCCGGCACATGCAGGAAAGGGTAGGTTGGGTGCAGCAGGGAGGGTGCACGGAGGGCGCACGGAGGGTGGGGAGTCACCCTGACGAGCGGCATGGAGCGCAGTTAGGGAAGCGATACTCGTACCAGACTGTTGGGATATTTGGACAACTGTCAGCCAGTCTGTGCGTTGCTGTGCTTGTGCTGCGACCGAACGTTTCTGGCGTTGCATTGCTTTAGACCTTGGCATGTGAGTGGCTTGGCTCAGCTTAGTGGACGATAGACAGCCAAGCAAAAGAAAATGACGAGGAGATGATTGGCATTGGCATGATGGTATCTTGTACAGTACATCAATAGTGACACACATATGTACCGAGCTTGTAGATGCATTTCAATGCCGGCCAAGACATGCAGACATGAAGGGTGCATTGTCTGGAGGGAACAATGGCGGGAACTGGCGGTTTGGTGATTGCGGTGAGGCCCAGCTGGATTAAAGGAAGGGCTATCCAGTCCTGCCGGAGTCCAATGGTTGGCGTCGACGATGCTGTAAACACGCAGGCATGGGTGGTTGTAACCGATGCCTGCAGAGAGCCTAGATGAGCAGCTGCAGCTATCACGACCAAATTGCGAATTATTAATTCGTACGAGCCGGTACCTCCAGCCAGCGGTACTGTCAGCGGCTTCCCAGCGGTAAATTCGTACCGGACAAGTACGTAGCGCTGGATGCACCCGGAATGTCATCCGCCAACCGTTTTTCGGGGGATATACAGGGGGTGTGGGCCGCTAGCCGCATAATCTACCCTAGCAGGCCCTCCGTCCGCCCATCCCTCGCTCCTTCCCATCGCCCATCCCATCCTGGCCGGCGCTCGCTAAGCTTAGTTGGAACCTGGGGGCCGGCCGTCTCGTCGCTTTCCCATTTCTGTTTCGCATTCCGAAGCCTGGTCTGACTGGGAAGAATATCCGCCAGTCAGGTTGTCCATACGGGTCCTTCTAATACACGAAGAAACGACGGGCGTTCCCGAAACCTGCCATCGGAACAGAGTAGCCTGCACTAACGCCTTGGGGCTCCGGGCGGGCAGATTTCAGTCCCTTGAGCGCCCCGTCTCCTGAGCCTCCACAGCTGCGCGACAACAACCAACTACCTAAGCGCTACGGCAAGTTTAAGTTTCGCATTTTGAGCGTGTTTGCTTGCTTTTGTGCAGCGTTGTATCGTGCGTGCCGTTTATTCCCCCTATTGTCTCCTCTTTTCTTCGTTTCCCTGATCCTGCCCACTGCCCAATCAGCTACAGATCCGTCGTCCCGCGTTCAGCTTCCGCACATTGATCAACGTTTTCCTACCTAGACTGATACAACCCAGGATTTCCTGGTCTCCAGTTCCTCTGGACCATGAATAAGAAATTAAGTAATTAATCGCCAGCTTCCGAGTCCACGGTCACCCCTCAGTCCACGGAAGAGCACCAGGCTTGGCTCGGGGAAATACCTGGCTGTCGTACCAACTCTCTGGGATGGTTGGTGGTGGGCCGTGGTTCGGGCAGCCGCAGCTTGGCAAGCAAGGATACACCGGCACCAGAGGACCAGGGAGGTAAGCTGTGTCAAAACCCCCGGAGACGGCGCTCGTCAGCGAACCAAATGCTCGGGTCCCCCAAGGAATCATGTGGGCTCTCAACAACCTTCTGCCTCTGTAGGTGCCACGGTGTTTGGCACCATTGGGCGCCGCATGAGTTAGCGCACGGCTTGGGACTTCGTGTTAGGTTTACTTTGGTCAGAAGATCAGCATCAGTCGCAGCAAATGCCTCAGCATCTGGCCTAGTTCGATACCAACAGCCCGGTTCTTTCGCCGGGGCTTTGGCTCCCTCCGTCGGATCCCGCGAGACTAAAGGAGGCAGACTCTACAAGAAAACCAGGTGTTGGTGGATTCCTACCTGCTACCATTTCAGCTGGGCGGCTTGGCCACCTAAAGAGCAGGTTTTGAGTGTCACATGCTTGGGGTGCATCTCTGGCTGACCAACAGTGAAGTGTGCCGTTGATGTTCTAGCCACGATGTTGGGGGCCGTCATTTCTATCAATAAGAAAACACTAACACAGCTTCCTCAATGCAAGTGCACACGACACTACCCTCCCTGTCTTTGGAGGGGTGCTTGGGGTGCTAGGATCCCGCGCCATCGGCTCTCAAATGCTTATCACCGTGCAGGCCGCTGGGAAAGCACAGAATCATCCATACATTGCAAATCGGCCAGGGCCACGTTGGCATCTGAGCAATTAAAAGATCCACCGGGGGAGGGGTATATCGCTGCAGCTTTCTAATTAATACGACGGGCCTCTCAGGATAAACACGACCCTAGACTGAGGACACTACCTGCGTAGCCTACCCATGGAATCTGCAATCTGCGTGGACAGCGGTGTCCACGCCTGTATCCCTTACCGGGGAGATGGTGCCCACTGCATGCAACCGGTGCTACCACACAATGCCTGCTGTAGTCAGCCTCTCTCCGCCAGCTCTTGGGACACTTTTACCGACAGACTGGCTCCAGGTATATCATCCGAGATTGACAGCAAGCCGCCAGTCAGCCCTTGTCATGTATTGTCCCCCATAGACCGTCGTAACGGGAAGAAGCCATAAAGAGCAAACCGAGAAAAGGGAGTTATGGGCTGACACAATGTATTCTCATTGGCTCCGAGGGGGCGCTGAGCTTTTATCATTTCTGATATATTACAGAAGAAAGACTTAGTTACTTTAGAGGCCTCGATGGAAGCATTGGGTATTCGCATTGTTTCCGGAAAGCCTCACCCACTGTTACTCAGTATGTCCATTAGAGCGACACCCGCTTGCTCACTGAATGACCACCATTACGTCCAATACTACGTCCACCATCTTACAATTGACCTACACATTGCCCAAAGGGCTTAAAATCTGCATTATACACACACGTGCCATTCATCAAGCTGGCCATGCAAGGATGGCCCCTCATCGCATGTACACTATCGCGATATAGGGTAGGTTTGTGTCGTAGAAACGAACCGTCGCTCGCACAGGAACGCAACCCAGCCAGCAAGTAACAATTGCCAAGGATCCGGGTTCAAGGCGTCTGACCATCCTGC